GGGCCCCGCACAGCCCCTGCCCCACACCCCACTGAGCTGGGACAAGCCAGGGCCCCACACGGGAGCCTGTCCCCTCTCTGGACAGCAGCAGCCGTCACGCTGCAGGCATGTCACCCTGTGTACATTGGAGCCTCCCGTGGGGCCTCTGCCTTGGTTGGGGTGGGGCTGTCAGGTTTGGGCCTGCATTTCTCTGCAGCGATTTTAGAAAGGACGGTCGGGTGCTGTCCAGCCCGGCAGCCCCGTGAGTGGTCCCTGGGCTCTTTGGTGGTGCTGTGAGGAGGTGCTGAACTTGGCATCAGGCAGCCCCGCCTCTGAGCGCTTGGGCCTGTGGGAGCGGGGTCCCTTCCCTGGAACTAACAGGCTACTTCCTGAGCACCCACGTCGTGACTGAGGGCCCTTCTCTGCCTGCCCAGTCTGCACAAGGTGCTGTTCACAGAGCAGCCGGAGACCTACTACAAGTGGGATAACTGGCCACCAGAGAGTGACCGCAAGTGAGTGTACTGCCTCCTGGGCTTCTCTGGGCTGGGATGGGCAGGGCTGGGGGGTGCCTGACTGGCTGCAGCAGGAGGGGTCAGTGGGAATTGGACCGCTGTTTTCAAGGTCACGTCACTATCCTGTCCCTCCTCCACAACCCTGGGTGCCTTCTCTCACTGCCATGCTGGCGTTCCTGCGCCACTGCAAGGATTCAGCTGCTGCCTGTGTCCACATGACTCTAAGCCCCAGCCACAGCCTCCCCCAAACTCCCACCTTCCAGATGCTTCCCAGGGCGTCCACAGGCACTCCACCCTCTACGCGGTCCCAAATGCGGTCTGCCCCTGCTTTTGTCCAGACAGCTGCACACTGTCCTTCCCCAGCCAGCTGGCCTCACAACTCTGTCCCCCTTCAAGTCCCGTGGGTGACCCTGTGGGTTCTTGGCCTACGCTCCCTTCCACCCCCGCCTGGGGCTGCTGCTGGTTCACCCTGCGCCCATCTCGTGCCTTGGGCGCTCTCCTCACCTTCACTGCGGCTTTCCCCGTCAGGTTTTAGAGGTGGAGGGGTCATCTCTGCCACCTGGCTCCCGGCTCCTTGACGGCAGGAAACATCTTGGCCTCTGTGGGGTGGCAGAGCCTCCCATGTGGTGGCCATAGGAACCAGTGACTGTGTGTGTAGCCCCAAAGGCCTCGGGGTGGGGGTAACCTCCCCTTCTCCCCCTGCCCAGGCGAGACTTAGAGCCGGGGCTCCTGTCCTGCAAAGGGAGGCTCAGGTTGGAGGGGCAGCAGCAGCCCTCTGCCGCCAGCCCGTGGGCTCTGAGGGAAAGGCTGGCCTGACCTCGGCCCCTCAGGTCCGGCAGGTGTGGGTAGCCCGCAGGGAGTCACGCCTCCCCCCACCCCGCAGCTTCTTCCTGCGCCTGTGCTCCGAGGTGCCCATCCTGGAGGACACGCTGATGCGCATCCTGGTCATCGGGCTGTCCCGGGAGCTCCCGCTCGGGCCCGCAGACGCCATGGAGCTCGCCGACCACCTGGTGAAGCGGGCGGCGGCCGTGCAGGCGGATGGTATGGCTTCTCCAGGGGATGGCCCCTGTGCTGGGCTCTGCTCCCCTTGTCCCTGCAGAAACCCCGGCGCTGGCACGCATCTCTGGGGCACTCCACAAAGCTGCGCTTCAGCTGGGCCCTGGGTCCCCGGGAGGCTTGGGGACCTGCCTTCTCCGCATCTGTCCCTTAGGAATTTAGAAGCGCGTGTCTTTGGCAGTGATGCAGTCACTGCCCCGTGTTTTGGAATTTGTCCTGGAACTGGCACATCACCTCCTTTAGGAGGCTGTTAGAGTGATTTTAAATCCAGCTCGCACCTCGCCTGGCTCTCCCCCGGGGGCTTGCGGGTCCCCACCCTGCCGGCCACGCCCCCGTCCTCACCTCCCTACCCTCCCTTGGCAACCCTGCCAGCTCTCTAGACCCAGCCCGGGTGTGGCCCAGAGCCCCAGAGCAAGGTGTGCCTCGTGTCCCAGTGAGAAGCCCTGTTTCCCCCAGCTCCCCTGCGCAGGCCTGCGCCCCATCCCGCGGCATCCCCCACCCCACCCCGATGCCACGCGAGCAGGGCCTGTCCCCTCGCTGCCTGTGCCTGATGGTCTGTGAGCAGCTCCAGAACCTGTGCGTGGTTCTTGGTCTTAGATGTGGAGGTGCTGAAGGTGGGGAGGACCCAGCTGATCGACGCCGTTCTGAACCTGTGCACCTACCATCACCCCGAAAACATCCAGCTCCCGCCCGGGTAAGCCCGCGCCTCGCTCCCCACTCCCTCCCTGGTAAGCCTGCGCCCCGCTCCCCACTCCCCACTCCCTCCCAGATAAGCCCGCACCGCTCTCCCCACTCCCTCCCGGGTAAGCCTGCGC